GTGAGCATTATATGAAAAGTTATTTTTATTTAAATATTTTCATTTAGGTGATGCGTTATTTTTGATCGCCACTGTACGTTCATCTTCCAAACATTTATCTGTGAAATGTTTATAGTCGCTATCATCAGCCCACCTTCTTTTCCACGAAAATATGGGCTGATCATCTATAATAATAGGGGGCATTCTACATACTTGAATATTAGAGAATAAGAGTTTGTACTTTTCCTTACGCGCACATGCAATAATTTCTCTCACAGACCCAATATAAGATCCCACTTTCTTGATATGTCCTAAAAATTTTGGGTGAAACGTAGAATCTTCAGAATCTTTTTTGACTTTATCATAAAATTTGTTACAAAGAGAGTATATTTTAGACTTTTTCATTGTATCTATCTCACTAACGGATATTGAAGCGTAATCTATGAAAGAAATAACATAATTATGACTCTTCTCTTGACCCATCTTTATATCTTTCTTAAGTTTTTCAAGTCGAGATTTAAACTTAGTCGAACAGTATCTAAATATATCGTCAATTAGAGCAAAATCAGAATTTTTTGAATTTTTTGATATCACAGAGGCACTTTTAGATATTTTTTTCAGGTGAGTCGTGATTTTGTTGATATATTCAATATCATTCGGAAGCCAAGCAGAGTTCTTAGAAAGGTAAGCCATACGGCCATTAGGTGTAGGTACCAACCATACTGCAATTACCTCTTTATCTCTTGCAAGTATTGTTGCTATGTTGCAAGAAAATTTATCAAGATCATCATTGCTAGTGTATTCGTGACTTGCTTACTCAACGACAAAATTGATGCTCAGCAACGCACGCTTTATTATACAAGTCTTTCGCTAGTTTACTATACGATTCTTGATCTTTCACTTGGTTAGCCACCATTTCGTCATTTTTCACCTTTTTCGCTTTTTTTGCCTTTTTTGACCGCTTCGCTGTACGATATTTATTTTTTTCATGGTTTTTTATTTATATTACCTTTGATAGTCTCTATTTTTCACATATACGTACAATATAAATAAATGATCATACAGTATATGTATTAGTTACATGTGATATTTTATGAGGTGAAGTATAATAGCTAGAGTATCCAGGATTATGCTGTAGTAAATACCAAATTATGCATGCGTAATTATGCGTTTATAATTTTGGCCAAAATTATTAAATTAATTTATCATTTAAAAAGGATTTATTTAATATTAGAATCGATGATAGCATCACAAAATCTGGATCATGTGTTAGTATTATGGGAAAGTTCGATGCATTCCAGGATCAACCAAGGTTCCGTTTCAATTTTCGTCTAGATACAAAATCCGTGATGATCGAAGTGAGGTAAATATGATTAGTATTTATGCATGAGAAATCGGTACGAATGGACAATAAATGATTACTAACTTACAGTACCTTATCTTTCGATCTATCTCAGCCAGAGAATTGAGATATCTTTTGCTCTGAAATAAATCGTTGCCCCCTAATACATAGAAAATTGCGAATACATTTCGAATATCCGACCAATCAGATTGATTGATTATGACTACTTTCGATAGTTTATAAAGTTTATTGAAAATAATAATGTTTCAATTGAATTTAACAATATAGTAAGTTTTGATCGAATTTAACTTAAATGAATAAATTGATAATTATTATTTTTCAATTATGCAGTAATATTATTTATTTATTTCTATAAGCATTAATTAATAAAATAATATATTGGTAAGTTGATTTTTATAACAATTTTATAAAATTGCAGGTAAATTTACTTGTAGAACTATTATACGAAAGTTTCATCTTGTTAATAGCGTTGCACACATGGGACACATTGTGCAACCGTTACGTTTAACAGTTAGGATTTATTTGTCACAGCCTGTTGCACATTCCATGCTTCAATTTACTGCTTATTATTAGACAGAACTTTGAACAAATTTATGCTTAAAATAATCTCATTATATTATAATTGTATAAAAAGATTTAAATTTTGATGCTTTCACATTTTACACTTTCATTTCTTCTGTTTTAAGTTTTGTAAATAAATATTTTGTTTAGTCTATATGAAGTTTCATGAGGAATTGTTTTCTCTATTTTAATAAAAGAAGCGATAAAAAAATTTTTTAACATTGAACAGGTCTTGTATATTACACATGTGATTAATAATTTTTAGGGTCACTTTCAAAATAACAAACAAAAATTTTACAAACAAAAATTCAAAAACTATGTACTAAACAGTGTGTAAAATTCACGTGCACAATGTGCACATGAGCACATCGAAAATTTTTTGTGCACAAATGACATCACGAAAA